AAATTTCTTTTCCACATAAGAAAAGTATTCCTTTCAGCCTACATGTTGGGTTGCTTACCTTTGTTATATCAGTGCACCAGGAGTTTGGAAAGGAGAGAGAGGAAAGGCTAGTGTTATTGTTGTAGTTATGAATGCAGGTGAGGTTGGCGGAATTACTGAGGCCAAGCTCCATGAGGAGAGGTCCTATGTACTGTATGGTGGTTGTATTTGGATATGATTTAGGGACTGGGTGGTGATAATGGCTGAGAACTCCAGGTCCCTATAGGGCAAGCAAACCCAGCATTAGATTTTATTGAATATGGTTCCTATTTCAGCAATTACTGTGCGATGGGGTTGGCGGATGCTGTTAGGATCTAGCCACATTCGTAGCCCTTTATATGCTGGGTCCAGCCTTGTGTGAGGTTCTTTGCGGCTTTCACACTGATCTTTTTCCTCTCCCCATCTGACATCCATATTTGAGTTTGATATGTCCATCAGACAGGCTTGTTGGCACCACCTTTTGCAAGCTGTGGATTGGGAAGTCATGCAGTTAGAGAGTTTTGATAGGTATCATACTCTTGATTCCACAAAACTGCTTGGTTACAGGTGTTTCTCCCAGAGAGCAGGCAGAGTGCATCAAGGTCAGGACACTGGAGCAATCCATGACTGTATGAAAGGTTGAGCGTGTTTTGCCATTTTGGCTAAGGCACGATCTGATCATCAAAGTTGAGATAAAGAGTACAGAGAGCATACTGGGATGATGATAAGTCCCACTATGAAGAGAAAGAGTAAGGCAAAGAGTATTCAAGAATGGCAAGGCCACTTGGGGGTGAGTCAGCAAAAAGGCCTACTGCAAGGACAATAGATAGTGCCCGGAAGGGGGCAAGGAAGGCCAGGTGGCAAGTTGACATGGAGGTATGTCTAAGGGGGTATGTGGAGGTAGGGCTAGCCAGCAGAGGATAAAGACTTGTCAGCAGAGAGGTTTCGTCTGGTGAGAAGTCAGAGAGAGTGTGCCCTGGAGAACTAGGTCTTCGATCCAGAATAGGATAGTGTCAGGAGTGTTAGCCTTTGGAAAGAACCAGTGGAAGTCCTAGCCCACCTGGTCAAGGAAGCAGGAAAATCAGGAAAATTGGTTGACTAGGCGGGATTCATTCATTTATTCCTCTGGGAGGTGGGTAAGTTTGAGCTTGGTCGGTCCTGCGAAAGAGGAAGTATAGTGGGGTACACCTGGGTTAATCTCCCATTTGGGAGTGGCTGAAACTGTGTGTGCCAGTTTTATGTGTGACATATGGAACCAGGAAGCTCTGCCAGCTAACTTGGATGCTGTGGGGGTGGTAAGACCTCGAGGGGTCCTTCCCATTTTGGTTGCAGAGGGCTTGGGTTGAGGGTTTTCAGGTACACCTGGTCACCACGTTGAACCCGGAAGTGTCGTTGTTCCATTGGGTGGGGTTTGAATAGAAATTGGTCTGCGTGGGTTCGCAACAAATGATGGACCATACTTAGGGTTGTGATATAGTCAGAAAGTGGGGGTGAGGTGGTTGGGCGGTTTCCCCGGAGAAATGGTCTTCCATACATTAGTTCAAATGGGCTTAAGAAGGTGGGTTTTGGGGGGGCTGCCCTTAGTCTTGTTAGTGCTATGGGAAGTAATTCTGTCCATGGCATGTGTAACTCTAATGAAAGCTTGGTTAATTGTGTTTTTATAAGGCCATTTGCCCTTTCCACCTTGCCAGATGATTGAGGTCTGTATGGGATGTGGACTTTCCAGGTCATGTTGAGGGCTTGGGCAGTGGTTGGGTGATATGGGAGATGGAGGCAGGACGATTGTCTGATTGTATAGAGTGTGGGAGGCCAAAGTGTGGAATCATTTCAGTTAACAGAGCATGTGTGACTGCTGCGGCACCCTCCGAGGTGGTAGGAAAGGCCTCGATCCATCCTGAGAAGGTATCCACCATGGTTAGGAAGTACTTGTGTTTTTTGTGAGGGGGCATACGTGTGAAGTCAATTTGCCAGTTTTCTCCTGGTAGACAGCCACGGGTCTGATGGGTGGGATATGATGTGGGGTACAATGCTCCCTGTGGGGATGTAACTGAGCAAGTGGGGCATGTTTGAGTTATTTGTTGTAGTAGTAAGGGCGTTTTGAGACAGTAAAATATGGGTGGTAGGAGGCGGAGTAAGGGTTCAAGCCCTATGTCAAGGGTATTGTGTATATCCATGAGGATTTGTGTGCCCTGAGACCTTGAGAAGCCATTCTTGTGTTTCAAGGGGGTCATAGAGGGGTGTTATGGGGGAACAGCAAGCATTTGTATGGACAGAGGTATAAGCATGGCCGCTCATTTTGCTTTTCAGGTGGGCCTTGTTTCCCTGTGAGATGGGGTCATTGGTGGATTGATGACTCCTACAGTGTAGGACTCCTGCTTGTGTTGGGAGTTTCGCTGTTTGAAGTAGTTGTAAGACTAGGGGACTGTTGTTTATAGGGGAGCCTTTTGGGATGTTGTGTTAAAGGTTAGAGACATGGCTTCAATTAACCTATCTGAAGATACATTGTATAGCCAGCCTGGTGTTGGCCTGTAGGTGAGGTGATGGAACTGCCATCGATGAACCATGTATGATCTGGGTGGGGCCGTGGGGTAGAGGAGGGAGGCAGGGTTGAGAGGGGGACAAGATTCTAACTTAAAGTTAGGATTTTCAATATAAATCATATGGAGTAATCGAAGCCATGAGGGGGAGAGGTTTGAGACTGCTTTGTGGGTGAGGAGATGTTGGAGATGGTGTGGAGACCTAACAGTGGTGGGTTGACCAAAGTGAGTTTGGTACTTTCTTGGGCCAAAAGAGCAGCCGCTGCCAGAGCTTTCAGGCATGATGGCCATCCCCTGACAGTGGGGTCCATCTGTTTGGAGACATAGGCAACTGGAGAGTAAATAGGTCCCTTCCTCTGCCCCATGACTTCTATGGCAAGTCCCTGTTTCTTGGTTACATATGGGAAGAAAGGGAGGAACAGGTCTGGGAGTGAAAGAGCTGGGACTGATTTAAGGGCTAATTGAAGGGATTTAAAAGCCTTATGAATGGGATGGGATGGGCCTAAGGGCTCTGAAGGGTTTCCTTTAGTTGCCTCATAGAGCGGCTTAGCTAAGAGACTAAAATTGGGAATCCATAGTCTTTAGGTAGCCGGCTAGTCCTAGAAAGGACAAGATTTCCGTTTTGGAGGTAGGGATACGCAAGTCCGCTATTAAATGTTTACGGGTGATTTTCGCACTTGTGAGGGGAGATAGATACACCCCGATAGACTACAGAAGTTAGAGAGAGCTTTATATTTTGTACCATAAAAGTGAGACGGAATGAGCTAGAACACAAACACTTACCATACAACCGTTCATTGAAGGTCGGAAGTTAAAAAAGAAAGAGGTATTGCCAGGGGCAGGACTTTTATAATGGTCAAGGAGAAGGGTGGGGTTGAGATTGCTGGAGGTAGGTGATAGGTTGACTAGGGCTGACATGCAGAGGGAGAGAGGAAGTTCCGGTAAGAAGAGAAGTTCCGGCAGGGAGAACAAAAAAAAAACGTGGTAAGCAGCCATTTTATTATGCATGTGGCTGAGGCATTCTATCAGATACTATTCTGGACTTTTTCATATTTTCAGTCTATGCTTTGTTAAGCGCCCTTGAGTCTGATTCCACTAATAGCTATTTTGTATTGAGTTTCTGAGGAGTGGCTGCTGGCTTTGAACCGCTGACCTTGAGGTTAGCAGTAAACTTATTATCTTCCATGGCCACATCAGGCCTTCTCAGTAGGCACTTGTTTTGTTGTTGCTGAATGCAGAAGCATACAAAATTAAAGATTTTTATTTTCAAAATGCCTTACACATTTATTGGCAACCTGGGTGAATATTAAGGGGTAAATAAAATTAACCGTGGTGACGTAGTTGTAATGCAGTAAAATATTAAAGAATCAATTTACTTAAGAAGACTGGGCAAAACGTGCTTATCAGCATATTAAAACATTTATTATTGTAAAGTATGAAAAAATAAAGATCTTTGAGTATATTAAGATAACGCACTTGAGGTTTAATAATATTTTCACATTTTAACCCCTACCATTCTACTGTTGTCGTTAAGTGTCGTTGGTTCCGACTCAGAGTGACCCTGCATAGGGTTTAGGGAGGAGTAGCTAGAGAGTCTGAACTGCAGACCAGCGGCTCAAACCTACCTTGTGGTCTGGTGTTTATCCCACAGCTGAACACCAGGACTCTACCATTCTACTAGGGAAAGAAAATTTTAGATGCAGCTCAAATTTAGCATGGGCCCAAACCCACATCCTATCTAAAGACTTAAGCTTTCCTGTCATTATTTTCTAAGCTTCACATTTTGCATTCTTTAGGATTGCCTATTCTTAAGCATTGTTGGTGCTTTAAATTTAAAAAGCAATGCAATGGGGCCCTCTCACATTACAATATCAGGGAAAAGGAGCCTCCATGGCCCATTCAGCGAGGTGCAAGAGGCCTATAGACTGCAAGCCCTGTAATTGTCTCATCCTCATATTTCATCTATGGGTTTTTGTATGTCTCCTGTTTTTCTGGGCTGTGCAAATCGCGCAAACGCAGCAGTAAAGCCTCCTTCTCCAGAAATGATGCAAATCCAAATAATTTAGGCTGCCAGGTTCTCTCTAACACACAGCCTAAGGCTGGAGGCCCGGATACCCGCCCCCAAGCCAGGTCGACAACAATCGTTTCCTCCCTCCCCGCCTTTTACATACAGTACACATACAAATACACACACGCAGCGCGGCCAGCAGGGGCGGGCCAGGCGCTACCACTCCGCAAGCCACAGGGGGAACCGCAGAGGCCCGAGAGCCTCTGATCCAGTCTTTAGTTTCTTCACAGCCGTCTCTTTCTCCATCTAGAGGCAGTTGCTTGGGTAGAGCAGCGAATTTGGCGCTCTAGGGTCTTCAGAGGCTCCGTGGCGGTGCCACACACCTTAAATGGGTGCTGCTTTCTCCCCCATCCGTAGGTGAGCAGTTGGTTCCGACCCAGTGCTAGCGGGAGCCGAGCGGGAGCCGCGCGGGAGCAGCGCAGCGACGGCGGTAGCGGCGGCGGTTGCGTTCCGAAGCCGTTGAGACGCCTCTGCGGCAGCTAGTGGCGCAGGTGGCCTGCGTGGACGCAGGCAAAGGCGGCCAGCTCGCCACCGTAGCCTCCGTGCCCGTGGCCCGGCAGGTGAGCGGGCGGGGAGACTCGCCCCGCCCCCCCCCTTGGTGGCCTCGCTGCTGGCTGGAGCGGGGAAGTGGACGAGGCCGGGCTGGGGCCGCGAGCGACGGGAAGCCGATTGAGGAGGAGGGGGTGGTCGTCCTTGCACGGAAGTGGGGCGCGCCCCTGCCTTGAGCTCTGGTTTCTCTTCCTCACACCCCCTCTATTGGGGGCCTAAGCCCTGCGAATAAAAGCCAGAGGAAGGATGGGTCGCGAGGAAGGGGGTTCTGGCAATGGGAGCATCCCTGCCTCAGGTGGTGGCGTTACCCGCCGTGGGGCCTGGAGGGGGCGCCTAGGGGGCTGTGCAGGCCGCGTGATCGGGGGAGGGGTGGAGACAGCTCCCCCTCCCCTAGTGTCGCCCCCCGCCTCTCGCCTCCCCCGCGGCGCGCGGCCCCTCCCCGCGGAGCTCCCCTGACGCCCTCCGTCTCCCGCTCGCAGGCGCGTCGCACGCCCGCGGCATCCCCTCCTCCCGCCGGCTCCGCCTCACCGCGCGCCCGCCGGCCCGCCAGCCCGCCGCAGCAGCTCCTTGTTGGGCTCCGGACCCCGGCGTCACCCCCGAAACATGACTCGCGATTTCAAACCCGGGGACCTCATCTTCGCCAAGATGAAAGGCTATCCTCATTGGCCAGCTCGGGTAAGTGATTTCTCTCCTTGGCGTTCAGCGGTGCCATCGTCACGCTCCCAGGCCTGTTTTCTAGCCCAGCCTCCTCGCCTTATTTCCTTGCTTGTCTTTTCTTCCCCTCCTTTTGTCTCGTGTATCTTGACCATTTTCAGCTGGTGTACCCAGTGACTCTCCCATGTAATTATGAAAATCCAGGTGATTTACATACTTGCGTATTTCCCAAAGGCTTGTTTTTGACAGGTTTTTTTCATAGGAAGTATTCAAAAGGGATGCCAATTAATGCTGCAGAACAGATAAAAATAAGCACCTAGGTCCGTCAGGTTTAAAAACGAGGGAGAAATTAGCATTTCCATAATTTTTATTAAATGCAAAATACGGAATCCATGCAAATTATCCACAAACACTAGGAGAACCGCTAGAAACTAATATGTGATTAAATTGAATTTATGGGATTTTCATCCATACCTCATATGTTGTGTAACTGATCAGATCTACTAGATTTGTTAATAAAGAGACTTGGGACTGGATAGTGCTGAGAACTGACCCATAAGTTGGCAGCAAAGAAGGCTCTGAAAATTTGTCGCACATTTTTGTTGATGAAATCTGCCTTATGACCTTGAAGAAGTTGTTTTTCCTATTGGTAGTTTTCTGTTGTCCAAAGGAAGAATGGGATCAGATGCCTGGGTTTCCCTGTGGTGATGGAGAAAAGTGATTAAGGACCCAGGAATTTTGGTAAAATTTAGGCAGACACGGTCTTAAATAACTCAGTGTCTTTTTGTTACTTATGATGGGACCCAGATTCTAATACATTGTTAGGAAGGACCCAAAGAAAGGTTGCTATTCATGGTGTTGGAGAAACTAAACAGTATTTTAAAAGTCTATAAATGTGTGATATATAGTGTTTTTTTTCCTAAACCATTTTCTACTAATTCTATGTTAAAGGGGAGAATCTCTTAAAGATTTTAAGTATGGTAGTTTCAATGATAATCAACTGGGAAGAAGAATGGTAAAAAAATGACCTTTAGATAGAAGCATGGAAGGAGAAGTTTAGTGAGCTTTCCCAGTAAGATGTCTATTTTCCCATCTAGCTCTTGACAGATGCTGGCTGGCAGGTTTCCTTACCCAACCTGAAAAACATATCCCCCCAGTCTGTCAAGTCTACTTTAATCCATGTTCATAATCCTGGTCTGCACATCTTTCTAACATTATACTATATTTCCTTATGTGATAACCTTTTATCCTAATGCTTTCATTTTAGCTTCTTTGATTTCTAAATAGATTATAAGCTTCTTGAAGGCAATAGACACAAATGGAATTTCATTGCAGCCTTCACAGTCTTTAGTACATAATCAAGCAGTTTTACAACACACTGTAGTTGATGCTTTAAATAGATTCTACAGAAACTGGGTGGGTTTAAGGGCCTTTCAGAGTCCTTGCCCAGTTTTACCACCCACCCTTACTATGTGAGGTGTTAGAAAATATGATAGAGCTATATTCAGATTTTTTTTGCCACACTGTAGTCAAGCCAAGTGGAAACATTAAAAAATTTCTTTTCTCCCAAATCATCCTTCTAACATTCCTCAATGTATTATGCAAAAAAGAGTTAGTGCAGCTGAAAGGAAAATAAAGGAGCCTTAGCAAAACTCTTATAGAGTATTGTAGATTTAATTGGAATGAGAAGTTGTGTATTCTCTTCCTCTTTTTTCCTTAGAAGCATCTGAGCCTGGGTTTACCCTTTCCTGTTTGCAAGCACTACATTCCTTTTTCTATGTTCAGTCATATAAATTGTAAGTCTTGATTTTAGAATTTAGAATATGTATTGAAAGTAATAGGCATGAGAGTGAGATCCTTTGTTTCAATTTAGACTTTTACTTTCTCTTTGTTCACATATCCCAAAGTTCATCAATTTTTAAGCCTTGCACATTTGTATATATTATCCTGTACCAGTAATATCATTCTTAAAGTAAACTTTAAAAATATACCTAAGATTTAATAAATTTTCTAGGTACACAGACTTCTAAAGCTGTTTTGCCAGTAGAAAATCTTGAACCTGGCTGAGAAAATATCCCTTTTCTTAAAAACTAAGGATTTTTATAATTCTTGGAGGCTCCACACAAAGTTGAAGTGATAAGCATAATCTTTACCACATAGATCATTGAAATTAAAATCCTAGAGGGGGTTAGGTGTTAATTCTTCTAATGGTCAGAAGTTTCAGACTGTCCTACAGATAACCCTCAGTCTTATTCAAGAATTTGAGTCGAGTTCAAAGCAGAAAGTAGGAGGCACTCTGGTGTTGGCTGCCTTAAGTAAATCAACTTAATTTTTTTTTTTTAATGTTCCCCTTTGAAATTATGGAAATTATGAAATTTAAAAAAGATGTCATTGAGTTCCATGTAGATAACAGTACCTTTATCCCTGAGGTCTTCCTTACTTTTGTTAATACAAGTATTACAGTTGTATTAGACATAAAGGTACCTGCTACCTTAGCTTTCACTTTAACTAGAAGGATCAAAATATAGGAGAAAAGAATGGGTAACCTTAATGTGAATCAGACATGTAGGCAAAGAATCTTAGCAGAATTATGTTTCAGACTTTGGGAAATAAACATTTATGTTGCTTTCACAATTCATCTGTTATTTGTATAGTATCTTTGTATAAGTTTCATTTAGGTTGCTAAAGAGGTTCAAATTCCTCTATCTAAAATGTTGAGGGCAAAATGTGTTTCAGAATTTTTGGGTTTTAGAAAGTATTTTATTGCTGATAACGTCTGAGGGTTGTACATCAGAATGGAGCACACTGTTTGCAGAGACATATCAACATGGGGTGGTGGGGTAATAGAAATAGACTCATTGTTTACCCAGGTTCTGTCACCATATGAGTTTTGAAGAAAATGTAGATTTTCAGAGCTTGGATTTCAGAATTTGGGATTGAAGATTTTGAATCTGTCCAAGTGTAGTTCATTTTACTTACATCTGGTCTCTTGTGGATCTCTTGTTCTCAGTTTATTTAGTTGTGTTGAGGTATGCGTGACTTAAAAGATTTTAATTTTTCTGATCTTTCTTTTAGGTAGATGAAGTTCCTGATGGAGCTGTAAAGCCACCCACAAACAAACTACCCATTTTCTTTTTTGGAACTCATGAGACGTAAGTCCTTTTAGTTCTAAAGACAAATCAGAGTTAATTTAGTTTTAAAGGCAAATCAGGGTCATTGGCTTAAAATAAAAGACATGGGGAAATAGTAAAGTTACAAGGAATATTAGAATCATTTTCTATACAATGAGCTATAGAAAGGGGTATCTCCCCTTTTTGTTTCATCTTTCAGGCAGAGATTTAAGACACTCTAGGTTTAACTTTGTGTGAATTAGAATATATGCTTCCTTAACCATTGAAGTATGATTTCTGTGATCAGAAGAATGACTGATGAATGACAGTATATAAGGGAACTTTTAGAAAAGGCACTCGTTATTTAATAAAAATACAAGGACTGGGCTTCATGATATTACCAGTACAGACTGTATATTGTGAGAAAGGTGAGAATATGCAATCTGGCTGTTACCCTCTATTTCAATGGTCCCTGGAAGTGCTGTTGAACTCCTGGTATGGCGTAGTAGGATCAGCACTGGACCTAACCACAAGGTTGGCAGTTCAAACCCACAAGCTGCTTCTCAGAAGCCCTATACAGAGTCACTCTGAGTAGGAACCCACTCGATGACACTTAACAGAGTCACTGTAAGGAGTCCTGGTAACTTAGTGGGCTGCTAACCTCAAGGTCACCACTTTGAATCTGCCAGCTGTTCTGAGTTAGAAAGCTTGGCTTTTTGTTTCCCTAAACATTTACAGCCTCTGGATCCCCTATACTGATACTCATTGGCACACAGCAGCAGCAGACACTGAAGATGTGCTGCCCCTGGTGGACACATGGTCAGAAAAGCTATTTGGTGAAGCAACCCCTACCCCGCCCCCCTTCCAAATTGCTATTGAATGTTGATTGGGTAAATGGGAAAAAAATCTAGAGACCATCTGAATTTTAGTTTTTGGACTTGAAGTTTTGAAGAGCGGCTGAAATGGCAAGATTTGATTTAACATTGTTAGTTACTGTTTGAAATTTGAGAAAACGGTTATAACAGTTACCTAAATATAATTTGTTTGCCCCAAAATTCATCTGTTTAAAGTACAACCTGCGGAGTCCTGGTGTGGCGCTGTGGGCTAATGAGTCAGACTGCAAAGTTGTTTGAACTGCAAGGTTGGTGGTTCAAACTTAGCAGCTATTCCTGAAAACCCAATACAGGGTTGCTATGGGTCAGAATCCACTCGACAGCACTAAACAACTGGGTTTTAGTATACAAGGGGTCTTTAAAATTTGTGGAAGTTTTTCATTCCATTTTCTCTCAGATTGAACAGCTTTGTTTGACCATCACCATAATCTTAATTTGAGAATATTTTTTAGAATCCTAAAAGAAGCCTCATACCCATTAGTAGTTATTCTATTCTCACATTCCAGCCTTAGACAACCACTACTCTACTTTCTCTCTAGATTTGCCTATATGGGACATTTCACATATAGAATATAAAATACTGCATAGTTAATTTCTTTAAAAACCAGCTTTTAAGTCCAGAATTGGCTTGCCTTCACTATAGTTTGAATTGTGTTCAGGTAGGTATGTTTTGTACTTTATAAGATGCATGGTGAATGGTGTGATTCCATAGGATAATGTACTATTTTTTAAAAGTTCCAGTTTGTGATTTGAGTGAAAGTTTACAGGGTAGGTCATTAGTTTTACAGTCAACAAATCATATACTTTGAAAAAAATCATGTAATGATTCTAATCCCATCCATGTACCATGAGTTAACAGTATTTCTCTATTCATTTTAGCTCTTTTAAAAAAAAACAAAACATTCAGGCATGTATAATAATTTATACCACCAAAGGGCACATTCTTCAAGGCTGCCTCCTGGCCACCAGCTCTCAGTCCCTCTCTTCCAATGAATCTGGAGTCCTCAGTTGCTCCCTCTCTCCATGTCCCTATCTCTGGTGTTGCTGCTTCTCTAGATAAGGTCTCATTCTGCTTGTGCTCTTCTCCCTTTATTGTCCTAGGGTCCTTTGTTTCTGGACTGTAAGATTAACTACTCCCTCGTTTTTGTTAGAAAACTTTCTACCTTTACAATTGTGACTGTCTCAATTAGTCATGATAACAGTTACTCACTGTTAAATCATAAAGAATCTTATCCCCATCTCTCTTTACCAGACCCATCTAGACAAGATGAAAACTATTCATTAGGGCCTCTTTCCCCACACACTCTTAAACTAAACTCTCTCTTGAAACCTTGTAAGCCAGTCCCTTCCTTGCCTTTATGCCCCCTCATGTTACGTAGCCAATGTCTCCAGTTGCTTGTCCCTATTTACCCTGTACAAAGAGGGGGCGATAGTATTGATACTTGATGTGAAGACTCCTTCCCTCCCTGATGATATTTTGAGATACTACCTCCATGAGTATATATCAAGTTCATCAAATTGTAAGAACTACCCTCGTTTCCTTTATCAAAAAAAATTTTTTTTATCGTCCTCTAGTTGGGTTCTGATGATCAAGCCATCGAGGGTAGGTAAAATGGGTACTATCTGTAAGTTTGGGTGTTCTTGTGTGTCTCCCCTCACTTCATATCAGCTCTATGATTCAGTCTCAGCTCTAACCGTCTGTGGCTGTGTCCTTGTCCATGGGCTTAGGTGTCCCCATGTCTCACCACACTTCCGACCAACCAGTCCTACTCATTCATCTCCAGGTCAATGGAAGTCTATGGAAAGTGGTTGAACTCAGCCCATTTCTTCATTGCTGCCTTTACCCCTCTTCCACTCACAAATATAGCCAGCAAGCTTACATGCCTGCTTCTTTGTTGCCTTTGAGTTTCAGTCTTAGAGGGGGTTTAACTGGATTGTTTGCCTTGATGGCTTCCCATGGAACAACTTGCTTATTCTTACAGTAGCAGCCAGTCATACTGCCATTTTTGTTTTGGGTTTTTCCTGATAATCTTTCTTCGAAGATACATCTTCTGGTGCTAGCTGTTCTAGGTTGGTCCGCTTGTCTTTCATAATGGGAATGTCCAACCTCAGAAGGATTCTACCTAAGGTCCTATATACACTGCAACGGCTCCACAAGAGGTCTATTTCACTGGGCAAGTTGTAGAACCCCTTTTAGGTATTCCAATCAGTTACCAAAGACGGGCTTAACAAGTTTTCTATAATCAGGTTTCCCCACATTCCTTTCTGTCCCACTCAAGTGTCTATTTTACAATAGTAGATAAGGGAAACCAATATTCATGAGACAGTCATGCATCTTAGTATTATTTCCCCTCTTTAGACTATGCCTCGAACCCTGTGTCACAGAGCCCTGGTGTTCCATGGTTGAGCATGCATTACTATTTACCTTTGTCCCATTTAGCCCATGTAAACCTGTCTTAATGTTCCCCTGTCTACCTTGTTCTTCCACCCCCTCACCAAACGTCCCTTGTTTTTTTTAATGTTTTATTGTGAATTATGTGATAGTTTACATGGGAGAACTTTAGCTTTACATTCATCCTCCTATCGTATATTCTTTCATTGCCATGGTTACAATTCCCTCCATGCATCATCAACCAACCAAAGGGTATACCTTGCAAGCCTGTCCCCTCATCCCCCATCATCAGCATACAGCCCCTCTCCCTCTCTGTGTCTAGAGTCCCCAGTCACTCCATCTCTCCGCATCATTGTCTCAGCCTCTATCTCTGGTGTCACTCCTTTTCTGGATAGGGTCCCACACTCCCCTCTTCTCCCTTGATGGTTCCAGGGCCCTCCACTCCTGGACTGCAAGATCAACGACTCCCCTTCTTTTGTTACAAAACGTCTACCTTTTCCTTTCCAACACTCACAGTCAGTCCTGATGGCAATTATTCACTATTGAACCACAAGTGTCTTATCCCCATCTCCTTTCATCAGCCTCGCCCGCCCATACAGATTGGATACTACTCAGTGGAGGTTGTACCTTCCTCCGTGCCCTCTGGATCTAGGCTCCCTCTTAAAAGCTTGCAAGCCAGCCACTTCTTGCCTTGGTAGCCCCTCCATTTTGGGTAGCCAATGTGCAAGTTGCCCATTCCTGTCAACCCTGTGTTACCAAGGGGGTGCGAATGATCCTTGCTGTAAAGATTAATTCCCTCTTTTGAGCTACTACCTCCATTCAGCAGTAATTCTTGAGCTTACTACATTTTATGCAAATAATGCTGAAGTTATAAGATTTTTTTGCAAATCGCACAAACCTCTCTGCCATTCATTAGTTTATGATTCCCTTGTTTTTAAGGTTGGTTTTTAGAACAATCTGATAATTGTTTTGACTTTTGACTCATCAGAAATTGGGACTGGTAGTTATTTGACCTTCACAATTTGGATTTTGTGTAAAGGGGAGTTAATCTTAACAATAAGTGGGGATGGAAATGGGACAGGAAGAAATAGAAATCTGGAAAAGGGCTAACATAACTGATATATAGGTTTTGTTGTGTTAGGTACCATTGAATTGGTTCTGACAAATAGTGACCCTATATAGGGTTTCTAAAGGAGCTCTAGCAGCATAGTTGTTACGAATCGGGCTGTGAACCTCACGGTCAGTAGTTTGAAACTACCAGCGGTTCCGCGGGAGAAAGATGAGGCTTTCTGCTCCCGTAAAGATTCACAGCCTCGGAAACCCTGTACAGGGTCGCTATGAGTTGGAACCGACTCCTCGGCACACAACAACAACAACAGTAGGGTTTCCAAGATGTGCCTGGTGATCTTTTAAATTGTAAAGTTGTAGCAGAATATTTTTGTAACAGCATGCTTTCCTGACCTGAAAACATCTGATTCTATGATGACATAATCATATTAAATCTTATCCAGCAATTAAGATTTGAGTATTAGATAGCAGTGAGCCCTTATGCATAACAACTAATGCATACCATCTTAAACCTCACTCTGGATTTCTAACCTCAAATGTTTTTCTCCTCTAGTTTGGGAAGAAATTAACATTGAGTGAATTCATTGTTATATATCAAACATTGGTGTCATCTTGATATTATATATTACAGTTCACCCCTCTCCCCTTTTTCCAGCAAGTATTGTTCTTTTCCTTCAAATTGCTCCCCA